TGGTTTGGTACACCAACATGGCGGCCGTTTCATTGTTTTGGGACACTAATATGGCTGCCGTGACGTCATATGAAAACGATATATTTTTTGTATGCTTGTTTATCAAGAATCTAAACAGATGAGGAAACCTTACTTTTGCACCCGTGATTAATTTCTCCTGTTTGCTGCTTGGCTCTCGGAAAACCTGTCGGACAATCTGATTGGCCATTCGTCGACCTCCATCAGTTTCGTGAAGTAAGTGATCCATCTTTCTCCCCTCTGAAGATAACAAATTAAAAATACATGAAGTTCAGATTAATCGTACAGGTACCAAGATGAAAGAACCTTAACTTCTCCTTCTTCAGTGGTTGGCAAACTAGAATTGTAATTAAATGAAGATTGTTTGTTCTCTCACCTGTTAGCGGAAAAGAATAACCATATGTTTCAAAATAAGTCGTTTCTAGTTTCTTCACCAGTTTATCCAGCGCTATTTTCTGTTGAAATTGGAAGAACTAATGCGTGAAACGTAAGCAGAGTTAGTAAATTCGTGATTGGTACGGATCAACTTTTATGTCAATGGTTTTGACTTTTCTAGTGATTGGTTAAACATTGCATGTAACTGGTTAAACTTTTCTTGTGACTGCTTCAGCCTGTCATGTGGTTGGTTTATCTTTGCACGTGATTGATTTGACTTTTCATGTGGCTGCTTTAGCCTTTCACGTGATTGCTATAACTTTTCACGTGATTTGTTTAACTACGCAAAGGACTTGTTTAAACGTGATTAGTCTAAAACACAACGTAATACACTTGTATTCGGTTGTTTGAGAATCAAAGATGATGGAAAAAAGGAAAAAATAAGCTGTTAAAAATAAAACAAGGGGAATTGCACTCTATTTGTTATTGTTATTGATGTTGCTGTTGCTATTATTGTAGATGTGTTGTTGATGTTAGCTTTGTATTTTTTGCTTGTTTTTTGGTTTGTTGATTGGTTGGTTAATTAACACCGTAGTTCTTGCTGTTGTTGTTGTTGTCAATGTCTTGTGTTTCATCAGCTCTCCACAGCTAACGCGCATCGTAAAATTGTAACTTACCCGTCCGCTCTCATCCAGAGAAGATTCATGAAATCTTCTACAGATACACTTTTGACACTGTCGACATATTGCAAGTAACGGGATAGACAGGAGGTTGAAAGGGACTGGCACTGGATGATACGAACTGTAAGTCTTGATAGTAATTGCCTTTTTGAAGGACCACTCCCTGAGAGAATTATCCTAAAATTGAACAGAGACGTGATCAAGGCTTCATAAACTGAGGTGAGC